ATGTCAGTGGCGTTCTTGTTGTCAGTTTCTGTCCAGATTGCCTGAGTGAATGTCTGGAGGTGTAGGCACCTTGGAATGATTGTGTTAAGCTAGGACTAAGTCCCTCCCCCATCCACCTTTATTCTTTTCTTTACAATAAGGCTTTCAAATAAGTCATGGCTGTACGGCAGTGAAGCATTGGTGTTGAGCACTGATGTCATGCTGTCGTTGATGATGATGATGATGGCAACTTGCCGATGGAAAAATCACAGAAGGGCATTAATTTGTTTCCAGCTGCTATGTTTCTTTGTATCCAAGTGGGTTGGTTTAACAAATAAACATTTTAGCACCAGCACTAATGGAGTTGCTTTTTTGTGGTGGCAAAGTCACTGCATATGTTCGGGAAACATGTCACCGCGGCCGAGCCCATGTAGGCGAAATGAGCGTTAAGACATCCGTTTGCTGTGTACCCCTCTAAAGTGACCGTCATTTGTCACTGACAATGTTAATTCGGATAAATACCACTAATGACAATAATAAAGGACAGTTATCCTCATCGGCGTACTAAAAATTCTAGAAACCTTCATTTTCCTGATTAAATCGATTTCCTATAGTTGCATTGCAATAGAGATGTTCTTAGAATACACTAGCCAGAATGCGGAACTGAGGACAATTCGTTCCGGTAAAATTACCGGAAAAACTGCAAGCAGTTTTTAAATCATCATCATCATCGACAGCATGACATCAGTGTTCAACACCGATGCTTCACTGCCGTACAACCATGATTTATTTGAAAGCCTTATTGTAAAGAAAAGAGTAAAGGTGGACGGGGAAGGGACTTAGTGCTGGCTTAGCACAATCATTCCGAGGTGCCTACACCTCCAGACATTCAGCCAGGCAATCGGGATAGAAACTGACAACACGAACGCCACTGACATCGGCTGGCAGCCATATCTTGTGGTGTCACCAACCAGGCACAGTGAAGATCACGCGATCCTCATCCTGGAAGACGAGTAGTACCAACAGCATCAAAGCGTTTTCGTGATCTCCTCCATACTCCTCTGCCAAGTCAAGGGTTGGCCACCTCTCTGTTTACGCCACTCCAAATTGGGCATGGAAAACAGTACTCTATTCGGCAAACGATGGTTCGGCATACACAACACATGTCCCAACCAACGTAGCTTCTGGTGCTGGACACATTCTTCAATGGAAGTACCCGTTACACAACCGAAAACACGCTTTCTAACTGCCTCGTTACGGATTCGCTGACACCAAGCCACACGAGCTATGGTTCTGAGACAACGATTGTCGAACACCTGAAGACGTCTCAGGTCCGCTGCTCGAATAGGCCAAGTCCCACATCCATACAACAAAACAGCCCGTACTGTAGCTTGATACACACGCCCCTTCAGATTCAGGGATAAACCATTTTGACGCCATAGGTGTCTCAAGTTAGCAAACGCGGCCCGAGCCTTGCAGATTCGTGCATTCACCTCACCTGTCACACTACAATCACAACTAATACAACTTCAAATTAAAGTGGAAAGTTGACAACGGCTGGATAGTAAACAAATTTCAGAAGTTTTATCCGCTGAACGCAAACAGTAAAGCGGGATAGCCCCCGCGTATTTGGTATCGTTCAATGTTTTGAACGGCATCACATGAACATTTATGGCTGTCAAGTCGGGCAGCAAAATTTTCCGTTTAGAACACAGCATGGGGATTTAAATGGCAATGCAGTAAAGCACGAGATCATTTGACCCGTGGGACATATTTGGTATTCGGGCCACCGCTCGG